TTTTTTTTTTTTGGTGCTTACATTTTTGTGGGTGTTTTTCCTTTCGTATTCCACTGCAATACTAGCAAACAAGTCAACATTAGAGTAAATAAAGACAGAATTTTCATTTTGGGGTGAACTATCCCTTTAAATTTAACCAGTGCAACCATGTTGTCACCATTATTCGATACAAAAGTAAAGTACAATTTATTTTTCATCTATTCTTTTTTAACTAGCCTACTTTTAATTGCGTTAAGAGTACCGCATTAGTCGGCATACACTTGTCAGTCTATGTGAACTCTCTGCATCTGCAAAGGGAGTGGATCTGCCATCCCTTCCCTTCCCTTCCCCCATCACCACCACCACCATCATCATCACCGCCGGACCAGTGAACACCAGGCTCGGTACATCATTTCACCGTGATGGCAAATGAATTCCCAGAAAGCAGAGAAGGAACTGCCAACTCACGCCATGCCAACCTCACGTCGTCTCTAGACCTGAGCACGTCTCTAGATCACAGTGTGCAGACGCGGATTTTTAAAATCATTGTCATCGGAGACTCAAATGTGGGCAAGACCTGTTTAGCCTTCCGCTTCACCGGCGGAGCCTTCCCCTGTAAGACTGAAGCCACCATCGGCGTGGATTTCAGGGAGAAAGCCGTGGAGCTCGAGGGCGAGAAAATAAAGGTGGGATTTATTGTTGGGGTTGGTCTCGTCACGACCAGGCCGATATCTCGTTGTATCACGGTTGTATTTTGTGTGTTTCAGTGGAAGTGTGACAGACAGCAGCATCGCGAGGAAGCTCAATGTTTACATTACGAGTAATCACATGAATTACTCTTTCTGATCGCATGATGCATCACAGGCGTAGTTTCTTTTAAGACAAATCAAAATACGTGTCATAATGTGGACAGTTTAATTTTTACTTGGTCTAAGATGTCCATTACCTGGTCCAAACTGGTTTTCAAAAGCTTATATGAACTAGAAACGAATAGTCCAATAGTATTATATTTTAATGTATTAGTATTCATACAACACAATATAATAGACTGGTGAAAAGAGCATAATATGACATTATATAGATGACACATTATTTGTTTATATATATATATATATATATATATAATCTGAATGTGATTTGAATTCAGTCAGTTGAGTTGATTTAACCCTTTAATATATAATCTGTTAAATCAAAAACAAAAAAATATCATTGTTTCTTTATATATAAGTAAAATTCAAAGCTGTGACACGTTGGGTTGGAAAGTGGTGGAAA